AAAGAGAACAGGAGCTGGACGGGGTTAAAGCTAACCCACGAGCAATGCAGCTGGGGCAAAGCTGCACTCGTGGGGGTGTTTGCACAGACCCCGGGGGTGTCAGCGTTGCGGTCCAAGGCAGTGGTAAGGCCCCTGAGGATATCATGTGCAGCTGCCTGGCCTGTCCCCAGAGACCCCCTGAACCTGGAGCAGATCCAGAGATGGGGCACGCGCCCGGGAAAGGGGATGGGGCTCCCGAGGGACAAGATCATTCCCCACCCAGTGGCTGGACACGGGCCACAGAGCACTGGGGCTGAGAGATACGGGGGGTCTCTGCCCCTCACAGGGGTGAAGCCCTGGAGCGGTCGTCCGGCCACCGCAGTGGGGCCCAGAACCCAAACCCCGTGGAGGGCTGGGCCAGTGCCACAGGACAGGGCTGCTCCCGGCGTGACGTAGGTCTGAGCCTCTGGGATCCCCGTGACGGGGTGGAAAGGGACGGTCCTGGAGCCAGGGATGTCCAGGCCCATCTGCCCGCTGCCTGCAGAGGCCGCTGCAGACCTGCCAGCCTGGCGCGAGCAGCGTTTGCGGTCGCAGCCCTCCCTTGGAAGGCCCGAGCCCTTGCAGATGCGGCGGCGAGCGGCAGACGGGTGCGCTGAGCCCGTCAGCCAAACCCGATGTCTGTCCCTGACAAGAGCCCATTTTCTAACCCGAGGAAGCGTGGTCAGCTTCATCTCTCCAGACTTCAGCCCAGCATCCGATGCGATGCCAAGTGGGAAGTTACTCATGCAGCCGGGGAAGCTGGGCACTCGGGCAGCAACCGTGAGGACCTGGCTGCCGTGGGCTGAAATGGGGGGCGACGGGACCAATACCCGCTGGCAGGAGGGGCTTGCAAGTGCCTCTGCAACCAGGCCAGGGGCCCCTGCATGGTTTCATGGGTGCCCCAACTGGCCCCTCCTGCGGGGCGTGGGGCGCAGGGCCCCCCGGGACGCCAGCAAGCCGCAGCAGGCTGGGCGGGGAGTGCCATTCCTGGGGCCCTGGTCACGGGCGGCGGGGGGGGC